TTTTATAAAATTAGTAAAATTAACCCTATAGCTATAATATTATTAAAAAAATAGATAAAATAGTATAATATCTAGATAAACAGGATTAAAAGCATTTATTAGTAAATAAAATCGCAACTAGGATAATAGAAACACACCGGCTTATAGTAAAGCTTTATGCTTACTGCTATTTTTATAGGTAAGATAATTAATATAGTAAAGCTTTATATCTAATAGAAATAGGCTTCCTTATAATAACCCGGCTATTAAAAATAATGCAGAATATCTTGCTTAAGAGCTTAAACGCCTGCTAATAAAGGGAGACTAGTACTGCGGGATCTATCTAGTAATCTATTTTATTTAGGTCTATACGTGCACTATAAAAGCAGATACTTTTAGGAAGATATATTAAATTCTTAAGTAGATTAGCAACAGCAATCTATTAGTTAGTTGTATAACTAAACCCGGTAAATAACTTTAACTAGCAGATTAGAACTGTCTTAATATATATATAATTTTTTAAGTAATTTAGGACTTTAAGACCTTAGAATAATTAGATAAAAACTAGTTTAAGTTGCTTATAAATTAGGTTAATATAGTTATAGATAGCAAGCTAATATGCCTTACTTAAGTAGTATCTCACGCTTAGGAACTATATTCGGATGTACTAGTTGGATTCCTTTATATTTTTCCTACTTATAGCAAGCTTAGACTATTTACTCTAACTTATTATTACTTTCCTTCCTATAAATGCGTAGGATAATAATTTCTCCGATAATTATTATAAGCTTATATAAATAATATAACCCTTTTATTATAAGGGTAAGTTACTAGATCCCTTTTACTTTATCTATAATTAGATACTAGTATAGGGTAAGAAGGTTACTAGTTAAATAGTAAGTCTCTATCCTATAGCAAGAGTTACCGGGCACTTACGGACAACTAAAAGATTTCAGCTCTCTACCCCTAAATTATAGTAGCATTTTCTCTAACACTTTACGGTTAGGCGTGATGTCGACTGCATCGCTTAATTCATCCGGATGTCCAATCCAAAATGTTTCCGTGGTTGTTATTTTAAGAACTTTGTGTGCCCTTAACAACATAACTTCGCCTTATTAAGTGTTAGTGATTGCAAAATTCAATGCGCAGTACTTTACTATTTTCGGTCACGAGAATCGGCATAGATCTTAGAGCGTTAAATTCCTCCTTACTTAGTTCAAGTACGGCCACACCAACCGCGCTGACCTGAAAGAACCCTGGAGGGACAGCAACGTCCGACTTCTCCAGTAGGCTAGGAGTCCACGCTCCTGCTAACACGATTGTTTTTTTTAGCTTGAACAATTAAATCGCCCACTTCAACTCCTACGCATTTCCCGACCTCGATGACAAGCCTCGTGATATTTTCTTTGTGCAGCTCCACGCCCAGCTTTGCAAGATTGTCGTACACCGCTTGCATAGCTAGGTCTAAATCTGCATAACCTATATTTTAATTAAGGAACAGCTCTTCTGTTGTGCTGAGCAGTGGTTCCGCAGTGGATCCCACAAGACTTATCATCTGCTGGTTTGTCACCTTCTCGTCGCTCTGCCCCTTATTTATTGTCTTCTTTGTATTCCTATTAATTGCCTGGATCTACGATGTCTGATAGAAGTAGTTGCAATAAGGGGCGGTCTTCCATTTTTGCATCGCCTGGTTTGCATATTCGACTATTATAGGATCAGGGTAGGCGTCGCAGATGATCTTGAGAAAGTCGTTTGAAGCAGTGTGTTCGTGATTTCCGGCATACCAGACAATCCGTGCCTCTGGCTATTCCCTTTTCAATGCAACCACTGTTGACGTGCCAATGCATCCTCCTCCCATAATAAGGAAGTCAATCTTGTCCTTGTGATGATTTGATTGCATGTTGGGATATGATTGTTCGTGAGACGCTAAAAGCGAAAGGTTTTCTGTCACCGCGTCATATAACAAAGTCTGCCGATCGCTGCGGCTAAATATCGGCAATGGTAGAGATGTTCTTGCGTGACTAAGGTGCGTCCCTAGGTGGCGAGAAACCCCGTGCCGAGAAAAATATATTGTTCAGGCATCTTAAGTCTTTCCTCGTGAGCCTATGATATTATAGCTAATATATTAATGTTCTTTAGACATTTCTCCATAGGAAACCACTCTGCAACTAAAAAAATACAACAATCTTGGTCATGCTGTCGATTATTCCGTTCGCAGCGTCCAGAACCATTTCAGCGTTGCACCCTGCTCCACCACGACAATTAATATGATTTACTATCGAGTTACCGTCTGAGCCGCCCGCTGAGATAACTCCAGGGGCTGGCCGACACTACACGATTAACTTGTTCACGACTGGAATCGACGCCTCCTTTATCCAACGGCTACTTAAGCCCGCCAGAGCATGGGAAAATACAAGCTAGACAGGACCTCCAAGGTCCACCACCAATTCCAGATCAGCTTTAACTGCGAACTGTTTTCGAACTCAGCAGCCTAAGAGATATCCAGAATCGAATCCGCATTCGTCCAATTTGAATCCTGGTGTCCGCAATTTTTGCACATCCTCGGTGGGGGATTCTTGTAGAATCTTGTCGTACAATAACGACCGCTGTCCATTTTGAAGTTGAGACAGCGACAGACGGAACATATGCCGGAATAGCTTTCACAGGGCTGGATAGGCTGCGTAGCAATAGACGAATTTGATGTTGCTAACCTGATATCCTGAAAATGTTGCGCCATGAAATTGGAACCTTTTTGTGGGTCGGTTTCAGAAAGTTCTGGTAGTCTGTATAGGTATGGCAGCCCATCCGGCTCTTGCTTAACAAAGGTTCCCGCACTAAATGAAGTATTAGATGGTATATCGAGTGATGCGATTCCCACGTGTCCGTTGTTCAGGGCGTCTAGCTAAAGCGGCCGTAGAGCTTGAGTCGAGACAGTGGTATCCTCGCTGTTCCTCAAAGTTCCACAAGACAAGTTGTCATTCAGCCAGCAGTTCCGTGCAATTTTCTCTTCCAGCCTCGTGATCTCTTCCCACAGCCTCGCGATCTCTTGCAGCCTTGCGATCTCTTCCCGCAGCCCCGCGATCTCTTGCAGCCCCGCGATCTCTTGCAGCCCCACGTTCTCTTGCAAAAGGGTCCCCGCGGAAGAGAATTGGACATCCGTGTATGGCCCGCCGAGTTTCGTCCCGCAGTCGGCGTAGACCGTGCTTTGCTGGATTGGGGAGGGCGCTTCAGTCTTGACTGTGGGTTCCATCATGGAGAAACTGCGGACGTCTCTCATGGTTTGTAGCTCATACGAGCATACTACGGGGGCCATTGCCGCATTTTGAGGCTCCGATGACTGCCATATTGTGGCTGTTCTAGAACTTGGGAGGGTGGTTGTTGTTGTCTCTGGCGAGAGCTGGGAGTGATTGTCCCGGCCTGGGTCGGTGTTCTGGGAACAGAGGTTGCCACTCCACGACGACAAGGCCGGGTTGGGCGGGACGTGGCTGGCAGTGGTATTATTTAGGTTCGGGAAGGCGCCAATGGTGGCAAAAGGGCTGATGGAGCTCTTCGGAGGTGGAGTGGAGCGGCTAGGGAGCAACCTGGTTGTGGCACCTGATAGCGCGCGATCGCGATCGGGGTAATGGCAGTTGTGGTTGCCGCGCGCGCATCTGCTGCAAGTGATCAGGTCGGGATAGTGCCTTTCCACTTAGGATAATGATAACGCGGTTGATAATGCGGGTTCAGGGTTTCTTTTTGCTTGGTCTAGGATTTTGAAGTGTCGAGCAGGCCATAGTCCGAGGTTCTGGAAGGGGGAATAGAGCTCTGACTTGCCAAGCTTGCCTCTGCCAGTACATCACGGCCCGCGGCACCACACGAACGTCGCCTTCTCGTATGCTCCACCGTACCGTTATTTGATCCTGTTATCGTTAGGTCCACCTCCCCAAGCCGTGCAGAATGACGCCCTCATCCACATCCGTCCCGCCCGCATCCTCTCTCTCGACGCCCGCATGTAGTTAGGAAAGTAATAGTCTCTTCTCTATCCTTTCCTTGCGCCTGCGACGATGGGATGGATAGAAGCGATGGACGAAGCGAGAGATGATAGAGTCATGGGCCATTGTCATTGGATGGGTGTGACCTCAGCGGATCTTCGATGAGGGGGGCATGATATGCAATGGAGATGTGCCAGCTATATGGCTGTGAAGTTCCAGATGCATGTATCGATAATCCCCTCCTGACGTGTCCGTGGCGTAGGTTGCAGACGCATTAACAGTATACCATTTTATAGTGGCAGGCCTAGGCGCTTGTTGACGGTGCTGGTGGCTCTTCACCTGTTTGCAGACTTTCTAACAAAGGCATGACAAGTTGCATCGGAAGCGAAGGAACGTATCCGAGCTGCAAGTATCATGTAGCAGGGTACAAGGGAATGCAATATGGCGCTGTGCGTGTTATTTCCTTGCAGAGTTCTGCCAAGACATTGGAAGAAGTCTTCCAACCAATTTGGATTAGCCTGCTTACCGGATGCTGGAGCGGCGTCGCGGCCCATCGGTGAACAATGGCCCTCATCTTCCTCCATGCGCGTGTATCACTACCCGGTTGCTCGGTCCGAGATGACACCGCTGAACGTGCTGGATGTAGTAGAGGACCTCAACCGCTCGTATCGATATGTGGCGGGGGATGGCGCGTTCAAGAAAGAGCTTGGACGACACTTGTGGGTGTGCACCTTGTTTGTGCACATCTAGCCGAGCAGACAGATTTGCGGGCGGCCAACCCGAACTAAGAGATTTGCAAAAAGGTATAGCGGCGTGGTGGCGTGCTCAAAACAAATAATTGAAGAGAATCGTGGAGGTGCATTTACAAGGGTCGTTAAAGGCATGCCAAGGCCTGCCGAGCTAGCCAGGGCATGCAGACGCCAATCAGGCAATGTATTCTCCCCTGTCAACCAGTCGGTCTGTGTGAACATGCTTTGTTTTAATATTGATTCTAGCTAGATCAGCAAGCAGGGAGCTATGTTACATATCAAGCAAATGCAGGCCCTTTCAACTTGTTGCCTTACAGCAGTCCTCACCTACTGCCTTCTTGCAGGCCGACATTTGCGTCCTTCAAACCCAAACATGGATTGCGCGTACTCGCATCCACCATCTTATGACCCTCTAGGGAATGGAAGCACTCCCGCTCCGTCCCTAGTACAAGATGGGCCCCAGATATCCTTGCAGGTGGTACGTGAAAACAACAAGGCTGTACCAGTATAATGCTAATAGACACCCTAGGATGATACGCTCAACAACGAGGGGGCAATTCGGAGCAGTGAATTGGATTCGAGCGCAATTGAGGACGATGACGACAGTGGGAAGATGATAAGAGCGGTCCATCCGTCGAAATGAAGTTCGAAAGGGCCAGCACATGGCCAAATTTCACACGCCCTTCTCTACTTACCAACCTATTACACCACGATAATGCGCAATCGAATACTACTGAAACACCGAACGGCCTATCTACTAGCAACTCCCCCCAAGAAGATAGCGGCCTCGAAGAAGATAGCGGCCTCGAGATGCGGCTTGAGGGATATAAACCAATGGATATACCTCCGCGAGCATCGTCTCCGCGTACCGCCCGTGGCATGTTGCAGACGGAGCTTACTAAGTCCCTGAGAATGGGCCTGCTCGTCGAGCAGAAGGCGACGTGGTCCGTCCAAGCGCGGCTCCAGACTCCGGAAACAAAGCTTCAGGCTATGACGGAGAATGCAATTAAAGGCGCGAACTTATACAATCTCCCGGGGTATCATCAAAAGGGATGGTAGTGCTTGGGGACGCGAGAGTGGCAAGCTATTACGGGATTAAAGTATGCATATATGCTTTTTTAAAGATAAAAGGATGTGCTTTATTTCAACTTGAAAAATTAAGTAACTTACTATAAGGGGATATTATGCCGAAGCAACCTAGACCTAGACAATCACCGCATTACATTACTTCTTTATAGCCTCTACCTTCCTCTTTCATTACATTCCCCATCCTACTGCGCTGCGATGTACTCTCCGGACTCCTTAACCTATAACTCTTAACCTATAACTCCTCGGCGCACCCTTTACATCTGCAGACCCAGCTCCACTAGTACTAACACCAGCCTTAACTCCTGCTATTTTAACCGTCCTCTTCTTTATAAGATACAGTTCCACTAATTTTATTATTAGCGGTGGGCGAGGTACGCGATGCAAAAGCCAGCAGCTTAAGTAAATTTAGGATCGGCTAGATAATCTAGATCTAAATTGCGGGAAGTGTATTAGAATATATTATTTATTATTAACGCTCTAATAGCGGCCTACTACCGGCCGCTGCACTAATAGGTTATAATTAAGGTTAAAACCTAGCCTACCACCGCAGTTAGGTCTATAGCTACCAGCACTGCAACTAGTATCTAAAAGCGAGATAGTAAGTAGTAGTAATTTTAGAACAGCGCTAGGCTAGAAAAGAAATAGAAAGAGTATAGGGTTTACAGAACTATATCTTAAAAAAGGAGGAGGCCGAGGAGGCGTCCGGAGAGTACCTCTAGTGTGGTAAGTATAATAAAATCTATGCAATTATCCGTACTAACTAAATAAAAACTGCAATTTTACTACTTAAGAGTTTAACCTTTTAAAATCTATTATTACTTTAAAGCTTAAGTAAACTATAACTAATATTTACACGTATAAGCAAGTTATATAATTTAAAGGAAATATGCAACTAATAATATTAATAGGCCGCCGCGCATAATATAGGAGATACAGTTTATCTAAAATTAATAGGTAAATAAGTAAAGGTGCTTAGCCGGAAGAAAAATACTAGTAATTATAAGTATAACCTTAAAGGTAAAGAAGAGCTAATTAGTAAAAATAGCCTAGTATTAGTTAAAGTAGCGATAAAATAAAGGCTAAACCTAAAATATCTGTATTTCTAAGCTAAAAGCCGACTTTTACAGCTATTATAAAGGTAGTTATTAATTTATACGCTGTATATAGAAAGGCGTTAGCAGGTTGCCTTTAGTCTAAAACGCGAGAAACACTAGTTAATATTTTTTATAAACCCTTTTAAAAGATAAACCTATTTCTTAAGTTTATTTACTTTACTTTTAAGATTTTTTATACTAATCCTAAGTTTAGTAACTTTACTATTATAATCTTTTAAAGTATTTTTAAGTTTAGTAACCTTTTTTTTAGAAACTTCTACTATACTCTAAAAACTTCTAATTTTAAAAGCTGTTTTTTTCCTAAATAAGTAAGTTATAGTCTATAGTATAGTAGTTTAGGTTATTACTAAAGTTAGTATAGCCTGGCTATAAAAAGTAAACTTATAGAAGGTAATATCTATAGTAGTATAATAAGAGTTGTATATATATAATAAGATGGCTAGTTAGGGAAGGGCAGAGGGGCTAAGGGTAGAAAAGTTAGTGCAGTATAAAACTTATATTTGGTAAGGCGTAGCAATTATGGCTTTCGTTGTGGGAGATTTCATGTGGTTGTTAACGGAGTAAGGTTGGGGAAATTCCGCCACCGTGCATATTCGGCGTAGCGTCGAAGTGCTCGGCTCGCTGATAACCCCGGTTTAGGAAGCTTCCCCGTCTCATCGCCGCCGCCGTCCCCTTCTCTCATCGCCGCCGCCGTCCCGTCTCTCATCGTCGCCGCCGTCCCGTCCCGTCTCTCATCGCCGCCGCCGTCCGTCTCATCGCCGCCGCCGTCCCCCGTCTCATCGCCGCCGCCGTCCCCCGTCTCATCGCCGCCGCCGCCGTCCCTCTCTCAATGACTCGCGAGGCGACGTTCGTGCGGTGGTGTCGCGGGTCGCGCGAGCTGTGAGTTGCAATAAAGGGTTTTTGGCGTGTTCGACACCTGCACGGATACTGTTTATGCAAGCAACAATATTGAGATTTAAAACTTTCTTATAGTAATATTGCAATATAACTTCATGCTTTTTAAGGGCAATTCCGGTAATACGACCGCGATTAACGGTATATCCATGAAATCTAATAAGATTTAGATAGTGGCGTTGTTTAAGAAACTCTAAAACCTTTACTTCCTTAAGAAGTATTTAGGGTAAGAGCTTTATCTCTTTTTTATTATTAAGATATAGTAGTTTAGGATATTTAATAAAAAGATTCTGTTAATCTATATCTAAAATAGTGGAGATAGATAAGGTCCCTTAGCAGATAGATTTTCTTATTTAGAATTTGTTCTAAAAGTTAATTTAGATTTTTAACAGTTAAATCTTAAATTATACTTTTATATATCGGGTGTCTAACTAAACTATACTATATCCTAATTATTAATATAGGTAACTCCCGCTTTTATAATCCTTCTATTTGCATAATCCTTTTAATTATATAGTTCTCTTAATTATATAATCCTTCCGCTTTTATAAGCTACTTTTAGTTCTACTAACTCCACCGCGCTGCAGTGTTTATAATACGCCTGTAAAAACTTTAATTATAACTTCTTCTATTTCTAAATAATAATAATAAGCTATGCTATTAGGTTTATATTTATAGAGTTTATATAAACGGACTAATTAAAAAAAGTTTAATTAAAGTATAGTTTATATTTACGCTAGTAATATATTAGATATTATAATATTAGATCTAATAGTATAGACTTATAAATATAAGCAGATAGCTATATTACAGTATTTATTATCTTCTTAACTTTATAAAAAAAGCCTTTTCTAACCTTCCTATTAAGGCTTTTTTAGAGAACTGCTTTTTACTAATAATTAATTAACTCTAGGTTTATCCGCGTATAAGGTAGTCTTCTAGCAGAGGCTGGCTATTATTCTTTTTATTATTTATATATACTTTTTATAGTATATTTAAGCAAGCTATAATATCTTTCTATAGAGCACTATATATAATAAATAAGGAACTAGGAACTTTGCTAAGGCTTAAGAAAAAAATAAGAAGAATATAAATATATAGAAGTATATTTCTACTATTAAAATTCTAAAGGACTACTTTAAGCATTAAAAAGGTAAAATCTTGCGCAGATTTAAAGGTAGTATTAGGACTTAAGAAAAAGAATAACTTCGGCGTTAATTAAGAGGTCTTAGTATATATCTAGAAGGCTCTTATATATATAGACTTATCTAAACTATAGTTAAAAAGGCCGGTAATATTAATAATAGTAATATATACCCTAATTCCTATGCTTAGAAAGTGCCCTATACTTTTATAAAAATAGTTAAGGAATATATTTTTTAATACTTTAAAGTTTCCTAATATTTTTCCAGCCAGAATATAATAAGCCTGAACTAGGCTTATAGATCCGGACTAATCCTAACTAGATTTTGGAAAATTGTACCGTTGAAAAGTTTCCTACGCATGTGTGAATGGCCGAATACTGGTTAGAGAGCGAAAGAAGTAGCAAAGCTTCTCGGTAGGTTTATTTGCCAGAATGGCAAGATAATGGTATAGCCGGCCGGTGGAAGGACTTTTATTGGCCACTTTGCAGTACCAACCGCGTGCGATACTAGCCCACGTCTCTCGTGCATCGTTCTTATTCTCCATGCTCATGCGCCACCGAGTGAGGTCTCCTAAGCATTCAGCCTAGATGTCCTCGAATCTTGGGATAAGTTTGTAAAGGGAAGATATTATGCCATATGCAATCTGGATGAAGAGTTGCATGTATTTATAAGACTAAGGAAAGCACCGTAACTATTGGAGGAACGCCTCGATGCCGTTATTCCACATTCTTTTCAGCATTGAGTGCTTGATTGGAAGATGACGCAGAGATGCCGAGGCAGAGGGATGCTGAGTTGCCTTGAAGAAATCCACATACTCATGCAGTAAGATGCGATGTAGAGCAATCCCTGCTTGCCAGTTTTCCAATTCGAGTGGAGCGGAAGCAATAACTCTGTCAATGATGATGCACTTCCTCTCAACCTCTTCCAGCCCAGCGTATATGGACGTGGCTTCAGAGGCTAGTCGTTCCTGGGAGAGCGTGCTTTGCTTTCTTTGAAGGAGCGGGTGACATCGATCGACAACTTGTAGCTTGGAAAACTGGGCTGGGTCGAGGGTCGGGAGATTACAGAATCCGGTGGGATCGAGGGTTTGGAGCTTAAAAAATAGGTCTGAGCTGCTCCTGGTAGGTGTGCGGTTATCCAAGTAAGCGTTATCCGTGGTGGAAGAGCCGTGCATGGATCCTTCTCGCATGGATCCTTCTTAGGTGGTCCTGATGGAATCGCAACGTGTCGAGTCATCCCATGAGCTGCAGCTACTCGGGACGGCGAATGATGTCGGGTCGGACGAAGGTTGCACTTTCGTCGAACTTTCGTGAGGTCGAATATCAATTGGAGAAGACGATGTTTCTGGAATGCAGGCTTGAGGTACTAAAGCCTGACACTGACTGGGCTTGGCAGTATTCTTGGACATTGTGTATTCAGATGATAAGGCAGAAAGCAACCTGAGCAGGGTCAGCCTTGCGAGACTCGGGATATGTATATAGTGAGCACCACGGCTCTCTATGCCTGTACAAAGTCATTTTCCCCGCCATGATAGAGAGGTTGTGGGAAAGATGCGAACCGGAGGTTTGGGATGGGCGATCGGAGTCGCTGTGACTGAAGGCAAACGCGCATCCTCAGCCTTGCCGGGCGTAACTAGCTCTATATGTCACCAAGTCGGTCTTCTCCGTGCCAGTGCACGCCTGTAATGACCATGAACCGCGCCTTTATGCATATGCATGCGATGTGCTATTGAATCCATAAGAATGAGGCGCTCCCTGACGTGTCCGTTGCATGGGCTGGTGGTGCGTTCATACATGCGCTGTGTGCCGTGTCTGGTGATGGCGACGGGCGGATGATCTGTAATCAAACCCCGTCTTAATGCATGCATGCGTCGCGCCATTCGCTCCCTAAGAATGGGCGCTTCCTGGCGTGTCACAACTGACAGCCATGGAGCATTAAGGGGACCGCTCGGATGTCCCAGCAAGCTATGATGTGGGTCACGAAAGTGCGCTAAGGATGCCGGGGTCGGAGCACCTTAGTTATCACCCCTCCTTTCTTTGCGTATCACCCCCCTTTTCTCTGCGTGTCACCCCCCCTATATTAGGCCTAGCTCCGGCCCGTATAAATATTGTTCCACCAATCAAACTCACCCGCTTGCCCGCTCGTGCTCAATTCGAATTTACATTACCTGCGCACTTACTCTTAATGCATTAACACCACTTCCTCTACATCATCACCTTAACACTATGCCCCTCCGGCCGCCCCCTTGGGGCCGCCACGCCTCCGTAGAGGATGGCATAAAGTCAATCAACACTTAGGCCAAGCAAAAAGGATACGCTATAGTTAAATACAACAAAAAAATGGACAAGCGCATGCCCCCCCAGGTGCGCAAGGTGCTGGTTCGATGCGAGTGCGCAGGAGAGTATAAGCCAGCTAATAGGAAGCGCCGCACCTGTATAAAGAAGACTAATTGCCTATTTAAAGGGGCCCTCTTAAGAAATTTACTGCAAGGTAATTAGTTTTTTAAGGTTAAGGTTTATGCTTATAATTATAAGCCGTATAATCCTAAGGATGGAACTCCTATTACGTACTAAGATTTTAATAAAAATACTATCCGAACTATATATAATTAGCTTAACGGAGGCACGCCTATAGGTGCTATTTTTAATAACCTTCTAGCTAAGGGCAAGGATATAATAATACAGGACCTATATAATAAGAAATAGAAGTAGAAGAAAATAAAGCTTAAAAGGCTTACTCTAACTTAGGCTATACTTAAGGTGCTTAAGGAACACAGTAATAATAACCCGGACGCTTATTACTACTATAAATATAAGCTAGATAAAGTAAACTAAGTTAAGTACCTATACTTTATGCACCCGGAAAGTGTTCGGATATTCTAGAAGAATTTTAATATTATTCTTTTTAATTGCACCTATAAAATAAATAAGTTTAAAATACTACTTTTCTATATTAACAGCGTTAATAACTAGGGCAGGAACTATAAGCTAGGCTATTATTTTCTCCTAGGGGAGGAAGAAGAGGACTATATTTTTACTATACAGGAGCTTTACCTAGTATACTAGCGCCTAGGCGTTTTACCAGGCGTTTTTATTACGGATAAAGAGCTCGCACTTAAGAATATACTGGCTAAGTTCTTTCCTTTTATTTTTTAGATCCTGTGCAAGTAGTATATATAAAAGAATATAACTAATAAGGCTGTTACTATTTAGAAGGATAAGAAGTAAGTATTAGCAGATATAATAGATCTAGAGAACCTAGTATATACCTCTTAAGTGCTAATAGTAGCTAAAATTAATATTATTTAAAAAGATCGGAAGAGGTTTATTAATAAGCTTAACTTCTACCTATTAAAACCTATAAAGGCTAAGTTTATAGCCGCTTAGAATAAAATTTAATTAGATTATATATATAAAAAAGCCCTAGTTAACTACCTTACTAAAAAGTAGTAGCCTTTTTAATAGTAGATTGCAATATACTATACAGGCCTTCTACTACACTTTAGTAATACTATAACCTTACGGCTAAAGGGCTTAAATAGCAGTATTAAGTCCTATTTTTAGATCTTAATAGGCAACCTCTATAATATAGTTACCCTACTATTTTAATATATTTACTGCTAAGGTGTTAAGAGAAAAAATTAGCTTAGCCGGCAGCGTAGAGCTCCTTAGCATAAGGTTAGGATTCCTAAGTTTACTAGGGTTCTTTAGCAGGTTACTAAGCAGGGCCTAAGGCTACTTACTGCCCAAGTTAAGAAGGCCAAAAAGGACAATTTTAATCCTATTTGCAATAGAACATTTAGGGGGATATACAGCATGCCTTGCTGCCATAAAATACACCGAAAACTGCACGCTACAGCGACATCTACGTATACTGTTGTCCTGGAGGATGTTCATCAGCACTAGTGGTTTAATCGTCCTGTTCTAAACGAGGTAAACCTTCCTATCGATCCTCTCCTCCTTATCGAGGCTCCGGCAATTGTACAGCGTCGTAAAGGCAGGCCAACGGGCCCTGCTGCACCTCGTCAATCAACCCGTGGCCGTGGCCGTGCTCGTGCACCTGCTGATGCAACTCGACGTGATCCATCTTAATTCGAAATTGTTGATCAACAAGCTCCGGCGCAGCAAGCACGACGGCGTGGTGGAGGGCCAGGATCACGTGGAGGAACGTCGCATCTCCGGCGAGCTTATAAAACTACTGCTCGTGCAGAGCAAGCAGATAGTGTTATAGGTGGACAGGAACTAACTTAATTGATGCAGATTGCGACACAGGCCACCTAAATTACTATGGCAGGTGTCTCTACAGGCACGCCGGCGGTCGAGCAGACCATTGTAGTGCTCAACAATCCTGTACAGTTCATAACTACAGCGCCAGATCGCTCCGCCGGATAAGCAGGCACTCTAACAGCTACTCAGAGCTCTATTTCCTTAGTCCCCGACAGCCAACCAGCCCCTAAGGATGCCCCTATGTGCACGCCTGAGGAGGAGGCTGTTCGTGGTAAAGCAATAGCTGTGAGGCCTTGGTATACAGGTGTAGTTGGCGTTCCTTTCAGCCAGCAATTGGACAGTGGTGGCCATCTAGGCGCTTTCCGCTGGTAGAGTAGCTAGAGTAGAGTAGCTAGAGTAGAGTAGCTAGAGTAGATAGAGCGAATAGACTCCTATTGGCCTAGATAATGCAGCCTATAATACAGCCTTTCCGTTTTATAATGTATACTCTCCATTTTACGCAGTCGATACAGAGGCAAGCGGGTGAGTTTGATTGGTGGAACAATATTTATACGGGCCGGAGCTAGGCCTAATATAGGGGGGGTGACACGCAGAGAAAAGGGGGGTGATATGCAAAGAAAGGGGGGGTGATAACTAAGGTGCTCCTTCTACTAAACTCCCATGACGCCTAGCACTATATCTGCCTCCGCCTCCGATCAAGCACAGTCGTTCACCTATCTCTTCAATGCTACGCCTAGCATCGCACCTGCCTCCCATCAAGCACAGTCGTCCATTGGCTCTGCTGCGTCTGCCTTTCCGTTGGCGAGCTCATCAGGCCCTCCCACCCATCCTGCACCCGCTTCGCGCCTTACCTCACAGTTTCTCTTCAATCCTACGCCTGGCATCGCACCTGCCTCCTATTAAGCACAGTCGTCCATTGGCTCTGCTACGTCTGCCTTTCCGTTGGCGAGCTTATCAGGCCCTCCCACCCATCCTGCACCCGCTTTAAGCCTTACCTTATACCTTTATTAGTTCAATTACATAATATTCGCCGATCCCGCAACATTTACTAATAAGGTAATAAGTTGCTTCGCTACTATTGTGCATTATAGGCGAATATTCTACAAGATCACGGCTTCCTAGAAGTTAGATTATTCTAATAATAGCCTTAACCGGAGGCTTAAAAAGAATGCAGCGCGAATAAGACTAAAGATAAATTTGCGCCACGCACTAAAGACAAATTGTTTAAAGGACTTAGTACTTATTAAAAGTATTCTCTTACTTTTATTAATATTAGAATAGATTAGAATTAACAAGAACCCTTTAAGTAAGTGTATAACCCTAAGCCTTTAGCCAGATCTTTTTTACTAGTTGCACTAAAACCAGCCTACTATATCTATTATTCTTTATCTATTTTAGAACAAGGTTCTAAAGATTTATAATAACAACGATATAAATATTAAATAGAATATAACGGAGTTTTAGTTCTATAGGTCTTCCTATTACCTATAAAAAAGCATTCTTATTATATTCTAGTAATTTTAGAATATACTAAAATAGGGTGGCTCTATACTCTACTACTTAGGGACAGGTTGTCTGTACCTTAGGCTTCTATAAATGCAGATATATCCCGATATATACTCCCTTAGCCACCAACTTTAGGTCCTTTATTAGTATTTATAACTACTAGGTTTCTATTAAAAAAGATAAATAATCCTAGAGAAAATAGACGGGAAGTTCTAGTAGTATAATATTAACAGTAAAATTCTTAGCAGATTGCATTATACTTTACGCCAGCTCCGGTACCTCCTAATATATTTAGCAAATGCCCTAAGAACTATTTAGATTCTCCTTATATAAAGAGACTAAAAGAAAGTAATTAGGAAGTTATATAAGCTTAGGGTAATATTAGCCGGTTTAGTAAGTATAGTAAATGGTTTAACTATAAAAATATTCTATTTACGTATAATAAACGTTAGGGCAATATTAGCAGATTTAGAGAGAATAGCGAATAGAAAGCTAGTAAATTTTGAAATATATTTTACTATTTCTTATAGCAATACCAATTTAAAACAGAACCCTGCACCGCGGTAAATTCTGCTAGATTATTTGCGTTTTCTACTATAAAAAGCCTAGGCTATATAAATTCTTTGGCTCCGACCTTATACTATAGCTTCTTTACAACTTCTTATCTATTTTTAATACTTCTAATATATTTTCTAAGTAGTATAACTAATAAATTTAAGTTAGGTTCGCCAACCCCTACTATTAAATTCTTTAAGAACTGTTTTAAGATACTAGGTAGTTAGCCGTTTAATTATAACCCGTATTAGGATTATTTATATAACTTACTTTAACTTTATAATTTTTCCTAAGTTTAGAAGCTAGCCTGTTGCCGAACTCTTTAAAAATAGGCGGATTAATAATTAAAGTGCATTTAATTGTTTTTATTATAACTATAGTTCTAAAAGAAAAAAAGTTAGTATAATAGTAAAGATTTCGGAAACGGGCGGACTTTTTTTTAGTGGTCTTCGATAATTTAAAACGGTTGCTAACTATATAAAGTTGTAAGTAAGGATTTTCGGTAATAATATAGTAAGAGGATTACGCGTATAGTAGGGTGTTGCGTAAAGGTGCTATACTATACTATTCTAAGCTCGGCTTCGCAAGATATCGGTCGCTACACTTTTTTTACCTATCTAGCGTCTCTCCTAGACTGCAGAAACCTCTGTCTTCTATTACTTGCTAACCCAGGCTATACTTAGGCTAAACACCTAAAATACAACAAGACTAAGCATATTAAACAACACCAGCTTTACGCTAAACCCGAAGGCGAAGAAAGGTGCGTAGTATACTTAAATACACCTATAATTAAATATTGCTAACGCAAATAAAAATATCTAACTAAAATAACGTTCGCCCACTAGTTAATCCTCCGCTACCTTACTAGTAGCAAATAGCCTAGTTAAGTTATTACGGGTTTTTATCCTTATCCCTAAATCTGTTATTAACTTACTATTATCTTACGCAGCCCTTAACTCCTATTACCCTGTTGTCCGCCGGTTAAAATATACTATAGAAGAAGGCTTAGCTTAGGAATTAAATACTGCGAGTTAGGAAGACGATGCTATATTAAATAGTATTAATGCCGAATTAGGTAACAGTTCCCTAAATATACACCTTCTATATATAGTAATAATATACCCTATTATCTATCTAAAACTACGCCCGTAAAAGAGCTTTAAATATATTAATACTAGATTAACCCTAAAGTATACAGTAAACTACTTTAGTAGTTTAATACCCTTTAATCTTGCAGGTATAACTTAATTAATTGCAAAGCGATTAGTATATCTTTAGTTAGAGAATAGAAGTCCACTCTAATAAGCCTTCTAATTGCATTAATTCTCCCCTAAAAGAGATAAACGCTGCGCGCTAACGCGCTTAACTGCCTGCAGCGTGCTCCCGCCCAGTAGTTATATTCCGACCTCGCTGCCTAGCTGTTGCGGTGCGGCTGGACCCCGCCTCCTAAGTTTAGTATAATTAGAAGACGGCCGAAATAGATAGCAATATTAATTAAGGAAAAGGCGCAAGGTAAAAGGCGGCACCTACGGCTCGCGTTAAAGGCACCTACTGCTCTACCCGCCTTACTAACCTGCCTATGCGCCTAATAACAACACCTGCAAGCTTCTCTAATAAAAAAGCCTGGCCTAATAAGTCTAACGCCGGTACTGCAATTATAGAGCCGGCGCGGCCCTAGCAGGTTTTTCTAAAACTAACTAGCCCTGTTCTGCCTGCCCTATCTACTATATCCTTCTTAACCAGGCGTAGCCGCAGCTGTTTATTATTGCTATTAAAACGTGGCCCTATTTTTAAGTATAAGAATCTCTAACACCTTAACCCGCCTATTAATATTATCGGCAGCAGGCGGAAGGCGCAGGAGAAGTATAGGGTTAAGCTGCCTAGATATAGTACTAGGGCGGGCAGAGGAATACTAGGAATACGCGGCGCTAGAATACCAGTGGATTGCTAAGGTTATCCAGCTAATCCTAAATTTACTTAAGCTGCTGGCCTTTATATCGCGTACCTCGCTAAATAATAAAATTGGCGTCTTTAATATATGCGTTATATACCTTGCACTTCTACTGTTTTACTAATATATACAGCTATATAGTTGAAATTTTCCCTAAATAGAAGCATGCTGCCTACCCGTTTTAAAAATCTTAATAAAAAAATTAACCTTACTATCGGCCTACAGCTATACTATATAACTAGAGCCGCCCTCTATACTGCGCAAGCAAAAACTAATAAACCCTCTAAGGCTATTAACTAGGTATTAACCTTTATCTACTAAAACCTACTGCTTCCTAGTATTAAGGTTAAGCGTATATATAGTAGTACTAATCTAATAATCCAACTAGCTGCTTAGGTTACCGCTAAATTTATTAAACGCGAGATCGCAGAAGCAGATATTAGGATACCGACGCTAACTATAAAATTAAGGGCGATTACTGGCGGTTATATACTATAGTTGCGATAATAAAAGGAAGGATAACTAGGAATAAGCCTGTAAAAGCGGATCTAAATATAAATAGCACTAAAAAAACACTTAGGCTTAGCGTTATTAGCTAAGTAACGCTTAGGAGCACTAATTCTTAACTTAGTATATACTGTTTATATGCCAACCTGTATTATATTATAGAATAGGGCCGGACTGTATATCTAGAGTAGTTTAAACGCGAGCTTCTTGGCGTCTATAAGAAAAGGGCCGCGGCGGCTGTTAGAATACAGTTCTTTCAACTTTCGTAAGAGCTTCTTAAGTAAGGTTTAACTTTTAATCCTCCTTTAAAGTTTCCTTTACTTACTTCTTAAGCAACCCGACCTTCTTAATCTATAAAGGCCTTCTCGAACTCCTTACTCTTTGTAATAGAGAATACGCGCAGGAAAATAGACATTTAAATGCCTCTTGCGCTGAGGCATGGCCGACTCGCTGGCCAGTTTAAAGACGTCGCAAAGCGTCTCACCAGTCTCTGGCACTTACGCGCTTTAGGAACCAAGAAAGCCTCAGGCACTAAGGGAGATCACCCCGATTGCGTGTGGAAGCTGCAGGAAACGAAAATGCAAGGCAAGAATTGTATGTGCATGTTGGCCGGGATGAATGATGGCTCCGATACAAAGTTCTCCGTGAAGGTTTCGCCATTATTCGTTGGCCATAAAATGGACAGAAGTTCTGTGTACGCTCTATCGCTTATAGCATAACGTTGTTGCTAAGTTTGTAGTGTTTCCTCCATTCCCGCAGTTGCTAGCTGTTGTAGCAACGTTGCTCTTCGAATCGCGGCAAGGAAACCCCGCCTCATGGAAATATGATAATCTATTCCGAAAAAGTCAGGTGACTCGGTCATTCCTCTGGAATCTCTGTGGGCAAGTTGATGTGGGCTATGCGTTGTGGCAGTCCAACACGCTTCCCCGTAGAAGATTGGTTTAGTAGAGATATGAAAACCGATAAATATGGTGAAAAGCCCTAAGATAGGCTCCCTGGTGTCCTCGTCATGTTGCTCTATCCTCGTTATTTTAAGATTCCAATTTGGTGGGTGCTGTTGCGTCTGCGCGGTGTTTGAAAGAGTAAGGGCACGTCTTTAACCTTGCGGTCTCTCAGGCTAAGTTGCCTTGGGAAAAGGAGGGATATAATTCTAGAGTTGGAACTACGTCTTAAACTATATTCTACCGCTTTCAATATACGGCCGCCACGCACGGATTACTGTATTCCCCCCGGCCGGGCCACTCAAATATTGCCTTCTGCAAGGCTGAACTTTGCTTGCATCAGCCTTTCCTCCCGCAGACGCCTCCAAAAACCGGCATCCTAATTTGTGTGTCAGTACGCTGCCTTCTTGCCACATTTGTTGACCAGCATGACCGATGCGAATGCGGGCAGACTTTTCTACCTTGACTCCTCTGCCCTTCCCCGACTGGCCATCTTGCCATGCACAAGCAACTCTTATCGCACCACGAAAGTTGGACAGATTTGAACATGTATGGTTTGAACAACTGGGGGTTAGTTCAGAGTACTCTTTTGGGTACCACTCTGAAAGATGGGCGGGATCCGGGTGGGAAATCCTTGAGGACGGATATCCGTAGCCTTATCAATAGTTTTGGATGCATGTGGCTTGCAAGCGGATTAACAAAAGTTTTTCGTCGTCCCATAGACGCACGCCAGCAAGCCCCTGCTTGGATTTTCTACGGGTCACATCCTTAGCATAGGGGCATCGGCCATATCTTGCATGCGCATGTGTAAGGAGTCTTAGTCACTATTCTAATGAAACAATCTCATAGCGTTGCGCTTTAAATATGCCCACGATTCGCATTTGCAATTATTCGACTGTGTTTACTAACTAAACCCAAACCACTTCCCCACCCAAAATCTGACTATGCAACCTATCAACTTCAGCCCCTTCGTCAACGACAATGTAAGAACCGATAGTCCCAATGCTTTCGTTTTCGGCATCAGTGAGTATATGTTGCATAGCCTCATCGCCGCTCATAAAAAGTCTGGCTCTGTACACTGGCGTGCCGCTCTGGTCTATGCTGTCTTGAACAAGGTAAAATTTCGTGCAAACCTGATCCCTCACTTTTCCGCAGAAGGCATGGCCGGTGTCAAGGTGTATGGTCGTCCTTCCCTTCAACGAGATATTCATGGCTTGTAACCCATCTGCATAGTACCAGTACTCGCCTTTTGCCTTCTCCAAGCACGCCCAAAGTCTACCCAGGTTGCCCAAATATGACTTGCCAGCCCGTTCGCGAGTTATAGTCGCGGTCTTGTTCATATTGTACCTTCTGGTAATGTCCTTGCCATGAATCGTAACTTGCGCGCCATGATTTTGCTTGAACAAGTCGCTAGGAACGCGAACCATCGGAGGTGGAGGTGAAGGCGGCCATTCGACGAGGACAATATCGGGGTCGGCATCGTTAGCACCCTCGGACGAGAGATGTTCCGGCGGTTCCTATGCAGCTGTTAGACTCTAATAATATAGGAATTTCTTGACAGCCGACGCATACCGTGATCGATGACATTAGGGTTACGGTTTGATGTAGAGCTAGGGCTGGGGGACTGGGACGCCAGGCTTAAGAAGCTCTAATTCTCCAAGTATCTCTTGACGTCGTTGGACACCTTCAGCCGTAACTGTATGATTCTTTGGCAATCGCCCAAGTAAGCCAAGTTCAACCTGTATGAAAACGCCTTCCTTAATATGTTGCTCGATATGAAGGTCTTGTTCATCCCATGCCTTTGACCTTCTATCCATTAAGTGCACGGTGTCCATACAGCAGCCGCAATAGAACGACCTCTGTCCATTTCTCCCAATATGATAAAGTGAAGTGGACTCGATAGAGTCATGAGAGGCGATGTGAGATTTGAATAGATCAATATTCCAAGATATGTTTTGGCAATCCGGACAGATCCATTGCTCTAATTGGAAGTGGCTGCGACGGTGACGATTAAGGTCTTTTAGATTGTTACCCTGCCAATGGCAATTTTGTTCCAAGCAAGACTGTTTTGCTGTTAGAAGCGCTCGTGAGAGGGAATCAACGACGTTACCAGATGTTCCGCGGCGAGGTTCACATTTGGCAGCTCGTTGGCAATTTGAAGAGCCGTCCGAAGTGTCTTGAAAACTATTGCAGTTTCTATGCAGGAGCTTCCTGTTCGCTCCTGTTTGAGATACTTCAAGGCTTGCAAAATGACCTTTCCACAAGGAATCTCTAACTCGTCTGGCCCCTCTTTTTCATTCCGAAGGTTTTCCTCATCACATATTGTAGCCCAAATGTCGCTGTTGACGTTCATTTTGACGAGCATATTGGCCGGTGTCTGAGGTCGAGGTCGAGGGGAGGGTACATCTGGAGTTGAAGATGGAAAAGCAGAAAGAGGTGGAGGAGGAAGGTATAGAGGTGGGGAACACTTTGAAGGTTGAGGCATCGCTGTGATTTCAGTCAAGAGGTTTGATAGAGTCAAGCACAACGAGCGTTACAGTGTATATAAACCCAAGCCCCAATCTACGTGGGGGATCTCCGACCATGAATATGATCACATACACTGTCTACCTACGTCCCGATCAGCTCTCATGAATCGTCCAGACGCCACTGAAGGCATGGTGGACCACATAATACTGCGTGTGAACCGTTGAATGCATGCCCCGTGTTGACTCCTAAGAGTGGGCGCTCCTTCTACTGCATGGACTCCGCGCATTCATACATGCGCTGAGCCGTATTCAGTGATAACGATGGGCGGATGACCTGTGAGCAAACCCTGACTCAATGTATGCATGCGCCGTGCCATTCGCCCCCCCAAAGAATGGGCGCTCTTTGACGTGTCTGTTGCATGGACTCCGCGCATTCATACATGCGCTGAGCTGTACTCAGTGATAACGATGGGCGGATGTGGCAGCTGGCGTAGGAAGGGCAAAGGATCAGTGAGGAAAGCATGAGTTGTATTGAGGTGCTAATGAGTGGCTATATAGTGAAGAGAGACCAGGGGTTGCAGGCAGCAACGGTGACAAAACAACAGGTGAACCCTGTCCAGCTGAGAAGTGAACCCTGTACAGCTGAGACGCGTAGACAGACGTGCGTAGGAGCATTCTAACTGGCTGCCAGGATGACCTGTGAGCAAACCCTGTCTTAATGTATGCATGCGCCGTGCCGTTCACTCCCGTGAATGGGCGCTTCCCGACGTGTCCGTTGCATGGGCTGGTCGTGCATTCATACATATGCTACGCCATATCTAGTGGTGGCGATGGGCGGATAATCTGGAATCGAGCCCCATCTTAATGCATGCGCCGTGCCGTCGACTCCCAAGGAATGGGTGCCCCCTGACGTGTCCGTTGCATGGGCTGGTTTCCGCGCATCTGCACCCAGATTATCTCAGAGGACTATCGTCGTGATGGCCCTAGACTCTCGGCGCATGCCATCCTCATGCATGTGCATGTTGTGTCTATGGGCTCCCTAAGCTCAGTAAGACATGGCCAAGGAGTGCCATGTCCATTCAGTGATTGGGCTCAAGTGAGCCCGGAATTAAGTTTCACACTCTGGACGGAGGAGAAGCCATGTGCCCTGCGAGAGACAAAACTCGGGAAAGCTATTGCCGTGTCGCCGCGCCGCGTGTGGCAAGTGTGGGTGAGGAATTTACCATGATTGGGGCTACGGAGGCGTCGCCGTGCATGCCACTATGAAGCTGAGGACTATCCCCATGCACAGATCGTTAGACATGGACTCAAGTTAAGCCACATGTGTCGTTCGAGCTTGTCGCCGCGCGCTGGCACTGCAAAGAACTTCAGCCGGCATTGCGGTTGTCAGTCAACACCCGCTCCTTCGATAGTGGTTCTGGAAGTCGGCCTTGTGAATAGAAAACCCTTGGGTGATGGTATGTGGATAGGATGGTCGCAATATGCTCAGCTGGTGGTATACGTGGAGTTGCTGAGTTGGGCAATAATGCAATTAGAAAGAGCACGCTGACTAAGCCGTTGGACTGAAGCATTCTATACAAAGAGAAGGAGCTCAAAAAATATTACTCTTGCTTCAATTGTGCTTTTTAGCGTCAAAATATGCTTCAACCACTGCTGAGATTCCCTCAGGAATGGTGTCCCCCCATTTCTTGAACAGCTCGCTCAACACGCAGCGGAAAAGAGGCGTATTCCGAGAGCCTAGGTCCGACAGTCTTTTCTCTAATAACTCTTTGGTCCAACCCTCTGCGTGAGGTGTCTTCAAGAACATCTCAATAGCCTCAGTGATAGTCTTAGTGATAGCCTCAGTGATGCATGTGCCCTTACCGAAGGCGAAGAGGAATATGTCTTCCCAGTGTCTCTTCCAATCATCCTCGCTTCGACCCTGTATTATTGGAAGCAGCTGCAAGTGACATGAAAACTGATGAGGAGACGCTTTGATTCTGCTCTGGTCCAGGGTTGATTACCCTCGAAAGATGATATAGTTTCATCCCTTCGTTCTATTCTTGATAATTAGCAGGAGGACAACTTTAAGCTTTAGACTTACTTGCTATTAACCAAGCGACTGGCCAATATTGTGATGTCTCCATAACCTCCCTCGTAAGCAAGTTCATTCGAGGTGTAACTTTGACTTGCGCTGTTTGATATTGCAGTGTGGAGGTCAAAGTGAGGAGAAACTCACAGCTGTGGGTCCGGGCTGATAAGGACTCATGCAGCGCAGGGCCTAACGCGAGTTGTCGAGCTGTCCCACTCAGCCTTCGGTGGAGAAGGCTTGGCTTTTTCTTCTAGGATTTTCATCCCGGTCTGCTTTAGATCCCAAGTGTATAATGGATGGGTAGCCTTAGTGATCCGAAAAGAACGCCTACAACTCTCCATCAGCAGTGTTCACTTCTTTTGACTCCGCCCTATACTAAAGTGGCTTTCCTGCACGCAAGAAGCTCACGAGGGATTGCTTTATAGATCCGGGAGCTCACTCACAAGGACGTACGTCGGGCAGCTGATATTGCTGTGTCGGCGTTCAAGTCATCTCCTTCGTTTCAGATTCGGAGGCCAAACTTCAAAAACTTCCCGACCGATACATACGAGTCCTATGCCGTCGATATTATAAAGAGCCTTCTAGACCCCACTTCGAGGATCTATGTAATAGAGAGTCGGTATAAAACTGATGAGGTGGCAGTGCATAGACCATTATGGGCGCAAGATTCAGGCGTGCCAATTGGCAAAGCCGTTCCTGTTGGCTTCGTTGAAATAACAGGGATAACCCCTAGAGAAGTGCCCGAGGACGACAGCCGTGCGTATGCTGATTTTTTAAGGGGATAATATAGCTAATAAAAGGACAGGTATTCTTGAGGAACTTTTGGGACGTGTTGAGACTCGGTGTCGAGATGAGGACGCAGAGAGAATAGCTTGGTATAAGGAGAACACTCGCAGAGAGAGAGAGAGAGAGAGAGAGAGAGAGAGAGAGAGAGAGAGAAGTAAGACTGATATAATTAGACTATAGGCAAAGCTAAATCTATGTTAGTTGTTCAGAGGGTTGCGAGATGGAACTATCTTCGCTTGTTGTGCATGAATCTTATCAAAGGGATCATCATGGTCGTAAGCTCGTTCAGAAAGCAGTAGACGAGCAGGATAAAGAGGGCAAGTGGATGTGGGTGTCAGCAATGCCAATGAGTCAGCGTCTTCTTGGATGGTTTGGTTTCAAGATGGAACTTATGCAAGTGAACGGTCTGGTTAGCTATGTGCATGGTTTCGATAAACGGAAGCCTCTAAAGAAGGATGATAGAGAATAAAATTCTCTAGAAAAGATCTTTCCTTTGATTCACCCGCTCAATATTTTAATGTAGGTGAAGTCCCGTAATGCATTGTGATTCAAAAAAGTAGTTAGCACGCCACGTTGACCCGCTTCAGCAGGATTGAAAGTAGAGGTGCTTTTAACTGTAATGGAATCAATGAGTGATTGCTTTGCAGACCAGGAAAGAAAGTAGCGAAGAACGGTCATGATAACAATAGTGTTATATGTTCACCAAAGAGACCAAGGTAGAAAGAGTGCTGCGCCGGGCGGCGAGACGGAAACTCATCATCATTGTCTGAAGGATCGGAATCAGGAGGGGCGCGCCTCACGCGTTACTTTGCGTGATGTTGGTGAGAATGCTCGGTGGTGGAGTAGTGTGAGGGCATGAAGACTTCGCCCGGTCCGGAGCGGTTCACGGGGACGGAAACATGCTTTGGCGATCTTGGACGAGGTGAATGGTCGTGCGAATTGCCACGCTCGAAAGACCTTCTCCCGACCGCTTATCCAGTTGTTCATGGCTGAAACTACAACGGCGATTCGCATGTAGTCATCAGTGATCACAGTTTTGAAATCGACATCCTGCAATCTGCCGTTCCTGTCGTTGTTCAGCAAGCCTTCGTCTGACCGATGAGCCACCCATGCCGGCACTTGTTGTTCGAGTACAGTCTCTCGGGATACCGTTTATCTGGGTGGGCGGTGGTGAGGCCTGGTGTCTGGGGGGATTTCGTGAGACATTGGGTTGAAAGGAATCGGCCAGTCGGCCTGAGGACGGTGATGATGGGACAGGGAGGCTACAGCTTATCAGCATTATAATCGGTCTCAATAGGGGCGTATGGCGTTCAGAACTATGAGAGAAGAGAGACGCTAGCCTTCGAGGCGATTTGGCAGGTCGCTCCCAGAATCTGATGAGGCGATGAAGACGATGTATTGAGCTAGGTCGATAGGGCAGCGCGACCTTTGTTGATAGGCGGAGACAAAGAGAAAGGCAACGAGCGGCCTTCGTCACCGACTTCGATTTAGGCGGGCTTGGTCGGGGGCGCTTGTTGAACGCGCTGCGCTTAACCTGTGGAGGGTGGTAAGCTGGACGGCGAGCTGAGAGGTGGGAGAGCGGGTCTTGATTTCGAGACTTGTCCTTGCGCGAATGTCCCTGGGCTCTCCAAATGATCGCTTGGTTGCGCGGCTTTGGTGCGGATCGAGGGTTGAGTGACGAGGTGTGCGGTCGTAGGAAGACTGCAAGTGAAATGGCACAAAGCGGGTTCGGACAAAACGCAGGCATCGTCGCAGCGGGGCTCAAGTAGATTGAAGAAGAATTTCAGCTATCATGTACTATGCAGCGCGCATCTAAGCAGGCAAAGAAAAACAAGCAGGTCAAGAGAGTGTACAAGGTTGGTTGAGCAGGTAATCAATCTCCGAGTAGAAGGAGTGAAGCGGTGCCAAGCCCCACGCTACCTCCATCACGTAATCGCATTGCGGAAAGTCCGAGCACGTGCCATAACAGAAACGTCCTGCTTGTAGATTCCCACTATGGTGGCTTCCAACGTCCTCGATTGAAGCATGTGTACTTCGTATTTCTAGTTTCATTCGGCCTCCTCCCTCGAATTTTCGCTAATCTGTGGTAGTGTCTTCTCTGCCACTCTGCTCTGTAATATACGGTGTGCCTGTCGCGACCGATCCACTTTCTCCCTTTTTGATCGAGGTAGAACTGGTAATTATGGTTTTGGTGGTGATGATGCCTCCTCTAGAATAGGCGCTTCTTCGTCGTTAGAACCAAGGTCTTCATCGCTGATGAAACCGCAACATATCGGGTTATCCCATGTTGTGAATGAGCTGCTAGGTTTCGAAACTATGCAGCTTCTCGAGACGGCGAATTGTTTCGGTGGGGCGGAGCCAAATGCTGATGTCTGGCCGGACGAAGGTTGCGCTCTCGTCGAGCTTTCGCTAGGTCGAATATCGATTGGACAAGAGGATGTTTTTGGAATGCAGGCTTGAGGTACTGAAGCCTGAAACTGATTGGGCTTTGCAGCATCCTGGGGCATTGTGGATTCAGATGATAATGTAGAAAGCAACCAGAGCAGGGCGTAAAGAGATTTAGCCTTGCGAGACTCGGGATACATATATAGTGAAGCACTAGGGCCCTCTATGCCAGAGAGGATCGAGGTGGGAAACCCTTGAGGACGGATATCCGTGGCCTTATCAATAGGAGAAGAAGGTGCATATGCATGTGGCTTGCAAGCGGACAGGAATTTTAGAGCAGGTCGATGCAGGAGTGTGACAAGGGCCTTCAAGATGCAGAAGAACGCCATGGGGGCAGTCTAGTGCTCGAGGTGACCCTCTGATGTTGACGGCTTAAGACCAAGCATAGTGAGTCGTGAAAGCAAAATGGAGACGGAACAGCCACGTTGCTGGGAGGCAGCACGCCATTCAGACATGGAATGTGCACTGGGAGGACATGCATAACCTAGCCAGACAATTTCACTCCTTCTTTAACTCTACTTCTTCCTCTTCCGTCCCACTCTCAGTCCCCCTCTCCGTCCCACTCTCCGTCCTACTCTCCATCCTGTTCTCCATCTCACTGCGCTGCAATATACTCTCCGGGCTCCTTGTCCGCTGGCTTCTTGGCTCACCTTCCACATCTGCAGACCCAGGCCTCTTAATCTTCCTCCTCTTTCTAAGATACGGTTCAACAAAGCCAACACTCTCTCGATCCCTCTTCTGCTCCGTCTCCAGCACCGGTGCCGTCCTAGCGCCACCACCACTTGCTAAATCACTCTCAGACACTGGCGACCGGGTCGGCAATTGCGGACCCAGTTGTAGTGGCAGGGTAGATCGTGATCTCGAACTGTCAGAGCGGCGGCCGCTGAAAGAGCTGTGGCGGCGTGAGCGGGGTGCGGGCCTGCTGTTGGCGCGTTGGTGATGGAGATGAGGTTGCGGTTAATGGTGTGGTGGGTGCGGATGATGATGTTGCCCAGGTTCTAGGCTTTGCATTTGCAGGATGTTTGCCGGCGTGCTATGCGGCGTCACGGGACGGCCGCTAGGAGGCGAAGGTATACCAGTAGCGGAAGGGTGGAGCTAGAAGACGGGAGCGTTAGCACGGGCGCTCATTTCTTGCTCGCCCAGCTGCCAGTGCATGCTCTCGGCGGACCTCCAGGGGATTTGCATTTCCGAAGCAACCTTTTGCCACATTTGGTCCTTGAATCTGTTCAGTATGTTAGCTAGGGTTCAATAGGTTGGTGAAGGGGCAGTGAGAAAGTAGGGAGGTAGACTGAAGACGCTGTAAAACACAATGTTTGCAGCGTTGCGCGTATCGTGTTTTTCGAAGAGCAGTGGTTGAGGAGGTACCTACCGAGCGTAAAGCCTCGCGAGCTTGTTTTTTTTCTCCTCGTCCCAGACTGCGCGCTTCTCGAGGTAATTCTGGTATCGGAGTCGGCAAGCGATGGCTGATCGTCCTGGGAAGTGCTTCGCAATGTCCTCCCATTTCATTCCTGTTCCTCTGAGCTCGATGATTAGATTATCCTCCTCTTGACCCCATTTTGACTGTCTCTTGGCTGGACTTTCCTGTGGCAACGGAGTCTGCGACGCTACGCGCTTGATAGGTGGGAGTGGAGGCGAACCACGAGATAGCGCTGGAGGTGCCGTGCCTAGCGGACCAGAGTAGAGCGGACGGAAGCTCTGGGGATGCTGTAAAGGGTCGAATTGCGCGTGTTGCTGCTGGAGAACAGCCAACGGCTGCAGTACTGGTCCACCTTGCATCGATAGAGCAGGATACGTTGGAGAATTGGGAACATGCGAGGGAGAAGGTATTGTTCCTGTAGACGAAGCTACTAATAGAGACTTGGAGCCTTAAGGCTCAAGCAGTAGATTAATATTTATAGCGGCTAATATAGGCTCTGGGCCAGCCTTTTTATAACTAATAGTGCCGCTTTTTCCTTCTTAAACTATATAAAAGAGTTTTAAAATAGCAGGAGATAATAATTCGGAGAATTATTAATAGTTGGGTGCTGGAATCGGATATACAGTGGTCGAGAGCTTAATAGAAGTTCCTGTATTTAATATTAGGGACGTAAACGCTTAAGTTATAAGGGAGACCGTATATAATTCAGGTTAAGCCGCACTTACCCGGGCGCTATAGTACCCAGCACTGTATATATCTATCTAAATAAGCACTTTAGGATTCCGGGTTTTATGCGCGGGTTTAGCTAGCAGAGGATTACTTATCTAGTTCCAACAACTTTAAAATAGTATAGAGAGGACAAGAATCTGCGTATCTTAGCAAGCTAAATATTGGATGAATTTGCGGCATTCTATAGTAAGGGTTTACTAGAGCGAGACAAGAGTATTATAGGGAAACTAAGTATTTATACACCTTTGCTATTGCCAGCAAAACCTGTATATATAACCCTAACCCTGTCGGCGCCCACCAGTAGAGTAAAAAATAAGGTAAATAATAAGGTATAACAGAAACCAGCCTTTATAGTTTAGCCCGGACAGTAGTAGTAGTTCTAGTCTTATTAATTTAATAATATTTTCCTTTCTAAAGTCTTAAAATTGCGACCTTAATATCTATAGTAACTATAATTATATAGTATAAATAGTTAGATTAATTAATTGCAGGCTAGTAGGAGGTATATACTGCGTTTATAGGAGTTGGCGCGGGCGTATAGGGAATATATTGCTTGCGTTTATTATCTAATAGAGGAGAAAAGCCTTAATTATTGCTGTCTGTTAGAAGGGAGAGGAGACTTAAATCTATAATAGTTATATCGGGCTTAAAGAAGGCAACCGGTAAGGGGTAACGCAGTAAGGCAACGAGTTAAAAGAAACGAGCTAAAGGGCGTTTCAGCCGTGTCGGGCGTAAAGTGCTATATAACCTTGAACACTAAAGCACTTTATTACTAATATCTCTAATCCTTATCTTAGCGCCATTAATATATTGGTGGGCGACGGGGCACCGAGTGCAGCCTCCGACCTGGGCACACCTTGTTAATCCGTCGGGGATATAGGAAACGATCCCAACTGGTCTTCTTTTCCAAGAGGTCGAAGCACAGTTTTAAGAAAGCTTGGCTTAATCGGCGCGAGATGGTGGCGAGGGTAGAATATGTCCCGTGTTTAGGGAATCGGTCAGCGCATATAGATTAGCGCATTCAGCCTTACTTATGCGATTCCTGAGCTCCTGAACCGAACGTACACTATTTAGAGATGGCTATTAACAACAGCGTGTACAACACTCTGCTTAACCACTGCCAAAATTGCCCTAAGTTTAGAAAGAAATGGCAGTTCACTAACAATAGGATCTCGCCCAAGATCACGAAGAAGCGGAAGCCGCGGGCAAAACGACTAAAAAAATACGCTCTGGCTATCCGGGCCGCATATATCTAGAAGATACCGAAGGTTACTAAGTAGAGTAGATAACAGGCCGAAATTTTCGGCACTAGTACAGAGTTTTATGCAAAAATCATCTATTTTCTTATTAGTGGCGCAACCTGGGACACAGCAAAAAACAACTTAAAAAGTTAACATTTAAACAAGCTTATTGCTGGCGGTTTTAACTTTACTTTAATTACAGACTCTTTAATTAAGAATACGCGGCTTTAGATATTAGTTTCCAACTTTTAGGTGCTTATTCTACTTTTATTATATATAGTTCTCCTAGATATTAGAATAGAATAGGATGTTATAGATAAAACTATAGGATTAGTTTCTCTCTAGAATAGGAAGGATTATAATAAACTACGTGCTGGCGCCTTAAAAGTAAATTATGCAATTACTAGACTTATTAAAAAGGGCTGGTTTATTTCTTATACTTCGGAATTACTCTTTTTTAGTAGGTACTATAAGCTGCTTTTAGTATTGCATGCGCTAATATATTATAGACACTTTTTCTGCAACCTTTCTAATTAAGTTAAAGAATAAGGATTAGAATGCTATCTATACCTTTTTTAAGAACAACTTTTATATAAAATATAACTACAACAATTGCCTTAGGCCCTAATTTTCTATTCTAAGTCTTATTATATCTGTAATACGCTTACGCATTATAAAGAAGGAAATAATCTAGTATAGCCTTATTCTTTTATAAAAAGGATAATACTAACTAGTTTGCAGACTTAAGGTTGTATATTTAGCCCTTAAATATATAGTTAATAATATTTTTCTTAATTATATAGACAAGGTCTATCTAGCTTATAAAGCATCTTTTATACCTTTTATAGTTGTTACCTAGGCTTTAATTATACATCTATCCTAACAACGGCAAGTATATAGTAGTAAATAGGCTGTATTTAATTTAGAACAAATCTAGACAGATATTATTAATAGCAATATTATACCTAACCCTTAGCCTATTATTCCTCTTCTAATCCCGGTGGAACCTTAGGAGTATATACTTAGTAAATTAGTGTATAGCAGTTCCGGGCAGTATTATAAAAGGGAAACAACTTCCTATTAGGCAGAATAGCTAGATATAGAAGTCTTAACTATTATAAATGCTTTATTTCCTATAACTATAAATATATATATAAAAAATTAGGAAAATATAAACAGGTTAAATATACCGGGCTAGAAGTAATTAGATCCTAATTTTGCCTCCCTCTGCTAGCTTAGTGCCCTTAATATCTAACTTCTTCTTTAATAGTAGCTCTAGCTTCTCTAATAGTAGTATAGGAATTAGTATTAGGAAAAAAGGAATATTATCTAGCGGCTTAAAGCAGACTCTTTTACAGATTAGAGTTATACCTAGAGCTATTTTTATTTCTTTACAGCCTTCTTCTTTCCTTCTAAATACTAGAAGTTTTGCTTTTTTAAGCGCGTTAGGGTGTAATAGGTTATTTCTTCTATATCTTCTAAGTGTTTTATACTAAGGAAGGGTATAGGTTAAGTTATTATCGGGGTGCAATAGTTTTTAAAAGGTAAGGTAAAATTAATCTTAGGTATAAAACGGGGTAGTTACTTCTAATAGGTAGTATTAAAGTCTTAAGTTAAATATAAGGTTCCTATTTATATAAAGAAGCGTCCTTATATATAAAAGCTCCGTCCTAAAAAACTTATTTACTTATCCTGCTTTTAGGGCTTATAGCCCTTAAGCGCCTTAAGTGCCTTAAGCGCTTTTCCGGCTCTATACTTACTTTTCCTATAAGCCTAATAAGCTGTTATATAACTTTATTTCCGTGGCGTTCCTTCTAGACTATTCCTATCTACTAGCAGCTTATAGTAGAAGGTAGAATACCTACCTATCTAACACGTGTTCCTTTTAGTTCTATAACTTAGTTCTATATAATTAGTCCGATCTATTTATCTATTTCCGTAAGTGCCTCTGCGCTTAGGTAGTTCGTATTACGGGTTGTAATATAGGGGTTATAGCAGGTATAAGTAAGCTAGTTTTATCGGGTATTATAGTAAGTAAACCTAATATATAGAGAAGTAATACTAGTATTTTCTCCGGTTTCTTCTACTTTATATTTAGTACTGCTTTCTTAAACTTATTAATCTAAATATTAATTAGTAATTATATAAAGTAGCTTTACCTATATATACTCTACTTAAAACTTTTTAAATAATTTCTAAACCCTTTTTAGGCTAATTATATATAAATAGTGTTATCCCTGCTTTTTTTACTAGCACCTTAGTCTTACTATCTAATACTATAGTAGTAAGTAGCTTATTTAAGTATAGTATTAAGAATAGAATTTAGAATAAAAATATTAGGAAAGATATACTATAGTTCTTTTAGTAAAGGTGTAAATTATATAGAGAACTAGCAGGTATAGTATAACTATTTAAGTAGATTAATTTAATACTAGTAGGCTATTATAATAGCGCTATATATAAGAGGTTAAGGGCTTAAAAAGGAGCGTTAATTAGGTGCTATATATAATACTACGTGGAGAATTAAGACGTTGTATAAGGAACAGGAAAACAGGAGACGGGCCACCGGATATAAGGGCGTAGCCGAGCGCGTGGCGTACGGCCTCTATACTGTTTCGGCGCGTGGTATGCGTGTATATAAGGTTCTTACTAGATTAGGTAATAGGAAAAAAGGGCAGCCAGTAGGTGGCTAGAGTAGGACAGGATAGAAAGCGGAAGTAAAACGGGAGTAGAGCAGGGCAGGCAGGGCAGGAGGCCGGCTAATAGTAGTAGGCCGGTGCAGATTACTAGAGTTATAGTAATCTGCGGCAGAATTTTAGTAGGTAAGGTGTCGCGGTTAATACTGTAATAGTACCCCTTTTCTAAACCTAAGTCTCTTAGTAAGTAGAAGGCGGCTGTTTATAATATATACAGCTATTTATTAGGAGTAGGGCTGTAAATTAAATCTTAATTAAGGTTTTAGGGTCTAGCAGGACAGGGCTTATCGGACGCAGGATTATAAGCTTTAGGGTAGTAGTAATAATAATTAGCTGCAGCAGTAGTATTTTTTAGGTTATTAACAGGTTACTAGAATAGGTTATTATATCTAGTCTATTAGACTAAGTACTTATATTACTTTTAGTGCTGGTTTAGGCGCATGCCTTTAATACAGTTAATATACTATTTAGTTTCTTTTTTAACTTAAATAGGTTTAGGTAGAGGCAACTTCTAGCTAGGCAGGTAGTTAGCTTATAGAGCGGCAGGATAAAGTAATAAAATATAGAAGACAGGATATATCTTTATAAATTTAGGTAGGCCTAGTTAATAGGCGTATAGAAAGATAATCTATATAATTAGGAACTTCCCTAGGTTTTTCTAATTAAGCTTTTTAGCAGGTTAATTTATACAGA